TCCCACTGGGAGACCAGAGAAGAACTATACTTTGATTCACCAGATTGTGTTAAATAGTCCAGCTGTTGCGATTTGAAAGATAGTTACCTCAGAAGTGAAATAGAAATGAACTTGGCATTTATGCCTCAAACCATTTTTATACTGTTTGGCAATCAGCTTTTCAGAGGTAGCATTTTATAAAATAACTCTCACTGCTTAAAAGTTTCATTCACTGTAATGTTCAAAATGTCCCACCTTTATATTATCAGTAAAATTAAGCTTGAGTGATATGCAGAATTTGCATGAAATAAGCATTTCCCCCTTCATTTCAGGAGCTTTGATTGTATTCAATTGAGCTCAGAACCAAGGTCTATTAGGGCTTTGGGGCATTAGTTAATTTGAATTGCAGCCGAAACGTTAGCTAGAATGTTGTTGAATATAATTGGAACATGGAAAGTTGATTTTGAAAGGAATTTCATTGAATGCAAACAATGATGTGCTTTTTAAAAATTAGAATGCTGCGTTTTCATCTCCTGTCACTAGTCGGAGAAATCACCGGGTCCCTTTATAAGGTTCAGCGTCGGCACTGCCATTTGCAATTGTTCTGATTCTGCTGGTACCAGTACGGCTCGGAGTCAGGTCTTTCGTTTTATCAGCAAGCGGCCCCACCTGCCCGAGCCCCACGTTCTGGCTTGGCTGCAGTTGGGGAAAAGTGGCTGCTTTTTATAATCCAGGTTGCATGGGGACAACCGTGCCACTCTGTGGAGTGTGGTACAGGTTGCTTATTGTCTCCTAGCTTTTGTTTTTGCCTTGAAATAGCCTCTGGGCACATGGTTAGAAATCACCCATTTAAATGGGTCATAAACGACCACCGGTGCCAGGCAGTCGGTTGTGGTAGGAAAACAATGTCGGACAGGAAATCAAGAGTCCACAATTTTAGTGCTGGATCTGTAATTCCACAAATGAAGAATTTGGACAAACTCGTGGCCTGACCTTCCCATGATTTTTGTCTTACTTTGTGTCACCCATAAAATTTGTTTTACTTGAAGATCTTAGAGCATGCAGGAGAACTAACACCACTTTCCATGAGCGCTGAATTTTTGTTCCTTATTTGTGGTCATTGTTCTAGATGTTGAATTAAAGCAGGAAAAGTGAACAGAATAATAGGAATTCCTATTGGATTTGCACTTCTTGGATTTCTGCTTGGGGACAAGGCTGTAGATTTGACCCTCCAGAACCGTCCACCATGGCTGCCAAGAGCCAGAGCCTGGGCGGTTGGCACCATCGCTGGTGGGGCTGTCTGGCTGTCCTTGTGTGATGAGGATGGAGTAGAATGAGGTCTAGGAGGAAGGCCCCTTATTCCAGAAAGAGCCCTTGACAGCTCCCCCCAGCACTGCTCTCCCCCAGGTGCAGATCATAGAGTGAAACAAAGAAATAGAGGAGTAGCTTGAGGGGACAGGCTTATTTACAGATCCGAAAGAAGCAGATCAAAATAGATTCAGACAGGGATTCACAAAGAAAGAAATCATTCCCCACACCAAAATTAGCTGGTGGCATCATTGTCATGCTTCTAGGAGAAACTGCCTTTCGTGAGCTGCATGATGCTGTGGGAAAAGCAGGAATGGGCAGCCAGGAGCTGCCGGTCCGTGTCCTGGCTCTGCCGACGGTGACTGTTTCAGGCCAGCCTCTTCCCTCTCCGAGGTCATTTTCCTCCTCTGTCAAAGAACAGGCAGGGCCAATGATGGCCACCATCCCTTTCAGCCTCAGTCCACTAGGATTCCAAGTCAGTGGTCACTACCCCTAAGAAACCACATATCCTGACTCTCATGCATGGACTCAGAGCTCCCGCCCACTGCGCCTAGTTCAGTGATAATCAAGTTTTTCAGACTGTAGCTTATTGGGTGACTTAACCCAGTGCCATTGAGTCAATTCCTACTCAGAGCAACCCCCCATTGAGTTTCTAAGGCTGTAAATCTTTATGGAAGTAGATTGCCTCATCTTTCTCCCCTGGAGCAGCTGTTGGGTTTTGTAGGGTTGGGTTGCCGATGCTGAGAGCAACCAGGCCAGAGAAATGAACTGCCAGCCTTCTGGTTAGCAGTCAGGTATCTTATGCACTGTGCCACCAGAGCTCCTTTATGGGTGATAAATTAATCTGCAGTTGAGAAGCTTACTTCATTCAGGACAGAAGAACAGGTCTTTGCACTAAGACAATCCCAAAGTGATTTCAGCCCAGCACTTTCGGGTTGCTCGACGGTTACTGGTTTAGTCACCCATTCACTGCCTTTGGGGAGCCCTGAGGATCCTTCAAGGAAGTGTTCAGCCACTAGCTAATGAGGAAAGCTTTTTCTAGGATGTGTTCATCTGCAGACACATCTGGGTGTGAAAGCATCTGTGGTAGCCCTGCAGACGTGATGAACGTCAGTGTGAGTTACTGGAAGTTGTTCACCTTTGTATGCGTGCTGGCTTACAGGAGAGTGGGCTCAGACCCAAGATGGTGAGCTGGGCTGGCTTCTTGGTTGAGGCTTTGAATTTTAACAACTTAGCCAGGATGAAGCTCACCCAGATGCTCTCTATCCATGTTTCCAGTTGGGATTGGCCACAAGAGAAATGTGCATGAGATTTAGAAGGTGGAAGTAAAGTAATAGTTCCTTACTGTTTTTTCTTCAGTGCTCTGACGGTCGGTGTAGGGAAGGCACGTTACAGCTCATGCACCTTGTAGCTGATGTGCTGACTCACCTTGTTGGCCATTGGAAGCAGCTGGGCCCATGATTCCACCAGCTTCCCCTCCAGGTCTCCTCCTCTAGTTTATTCAGATCCTGGGCCAGGTTCATGTGCAGCTCCATGGTGAAGACTGCAGCCTGTCCTACAGATGGCCTTCATCATCAGGACTGGAAGTGGCAAGAGACAGATGCAGCTCTAGTTTGCCCTTGGTCTCTCCCACTTCATGTCCATTTTCCTGCTCAGCTTCCGGAACTGCTGAGTTCAGGCCAGGTGTCAGACGCAGAAGAAACTGATGCAGGGCTTCCCTAGGCTGCCGACCTAGCTCCTTCCATTGCTTAAGGTCTCATGACTCCCTTACGTCTCCTACAGTGTTCTGAGTCTCTAACCAAGCCCTAATGCATATAGTCTTCCAGATGTCTCCTGGGTCAGAGAAAGTCAAACCACAGATTGCACTGGGGAAACTACACCCAAGGCAGGCACTTCAGGTTGGGCTGTTGTGTTACAGTGAGAGAAAAGGATTCTCAAAACATAGCAATAGAGGTCTCGAGGCTCCTTGGCCAAGATGGATGAAGAATGTCACGGTGCTTTCCAATGACAGGGCACTGCCAAAGCCAGGAGAAAAATCGAGGAGTCTCTCGTACTGCAGCATAGCTTTCTTCCCGGTTTCTGGGCATGGCTTCCCTTTTACCACCTCCAAGGCAGACAGCACTGTGTTAGTGATGATGGTGACAAGGGACACCGTTGGTGTAACCCAAGAGCAAGATGGAGTGGTTTTCAGGCATTTGGACAAATATTGTAGCGTGGGTCAGACAGTGATGTGAGTGTGATCACGGGGTGTGAGGTGTGTGTCCTGGCTACCCACACAGTCCACTTTCTCTGAGTAGTTGTGATCATTTGTCTTGTTGCTTTCCTGGTCTGAGAGAGCCCTTCAGATCTGCTCACATCAAAGCTTTCCTCTCTCCCTGTTCATTCTGAGCCTGTCACAGTCTATTGATAGTCATCCGTTTGTTTACACCATGAACACCAGATCTGAGCTGGGTGGTGGGGATAAAGCTGTGAACAGAACAAAACAGCTCCTGCCTTACGGAGGCTTGTACTCTCTGTAGACAGAGACATTAAAGAACTCATTGCGCGTGCATTTAATTACAATTGTGGTGAGTCCAGCAAGGGAGATGCATTTTCGGAGGTGAGAGTGTCGATAACTGTGGGTTCTGACTGGGGGCTCAGAGAATAGTAGAAATCAACTCCAGGTAAGGGGCTGGTAGGGCAGTGGGCAGACACTGGCCAGCAGTTGCCCAGGATGTGTCCTGACATGCAGAGGTGGGACCAGTGGCGTGCTGGTTTAACATCCAGTTCTGTGAGGCGAAGAGCCTGCATCCAGGTATTGGCCAAGATGACCAGCTAAGCACCGCTAGCCACTGCCTTGCCCACTCCAGCTGCCTCCGCCTTCAGATCAGGTCAGCAGCTTCGGTGGGCTCTGACCATGATTTCCCAGAAGACAGGTGCCCAAGGCCTAATTGCCTGACAGGTGACAAAAAGAAGGTTTCAGGGACGTCTCTGTCCACAACAGAATTGCTCCTCATCCATCTGAAGGCGCAATAAGATTCCTTTATCTGAAGAGAAGGAAGAAGAAACTGCACCGAAATATAAAATCTCTCAAACATTTGATTCTCCTTTTCAGAAAAAGTGGGTGGTAACTTAGCATTTTAGCTGCTTTTCTGGATTCTCCCATCTGCCCTCACCCTCGCGT